CGGGGCTCGATTGTGGAAGGATGTTTCAGGCGAGCCCGCCGTGCTCTGAGAATCGGATGAACATTATTGGAAGTACCGTGTGTTTTTGAAGGTAAAATGTTGAAATTCCCATGTGTTTTTCGACCCTGACGTCACGATCTGCGTGAGTGGTGCCACCGATTTTCAGAATTTCCAGGATGTCGCCGGCGAAACGGCCATAAAAATCGCGAACGCCCCGCGTACGATCGCCTCTGAGCTCTAGTCCCTCGGAGAGGTCCATATGAGAGAATCTATTATATTTATAGATATAGGTTTACATTTATATATATATATATATATATATGTGTGTGTGTAAGCTTCACAGCTCTGATTTGCACTGTTGGAAGCAGGTTATGCCGCGACTGCCTGCCAAATGCTCAGGTCCCTATCTGCCGTATTCTTATCTAATTACTCAGAATGGCGCTCGCTTTTTCTTGACTAACTTAACCGGGATGCAGCTACGCAGCTCTGATTGGCATCGTTGGATTGAGCATGATGAGAAGCATAAATCTGCATCGGCGGGAACTTGTGATTCGAGGTCCACCAGAAGATATCATAGAACACCGTCGTACGTGTGCGTAGAGTTGTGTGCGTGATAGCTGTTTACTGTGTTAAATTTGAGCAGCTTGAGAGCCCATTTTTTGCACGTGAAGAAGAAATTTTCAGGTCCGTAGCTACAGTACTACAATCAACAGACCCAGGGAATCACTTTCGTTTCGCACCAAAACATATACAGTTCGTTCGAGCTCTCATATTTTTCCCTGCCCATCTTCGATCATAATCCCGGTCGCCATCTTGATCTCAGGGCGATCGGGTAAATATCATTATGAATAGCTTGTGGGCGGGATTGGCTGTTTTGTGTTATCCTGGCAGGTGCTAGGTTCTCTTAAACTTAACTCGAGCGGCAAACGAGCTACAGAGCTGTTCGGCACAGCAATCGAAATATAATCATCAGGAGCGCTAGTCTCAAGTATCTACATGGCCGAACTCGGTCTGCCACCAGAACTAGAACCAAAAACTATTCGTACTCTGCTAATTCATTTAACATATGATCATGAATTTCTGAACTTAGCTCGAGCTGCAGATGAGCTACAGAGCTTTTCGGCGCAGCATTCGGAAGGACATTTTCCGCAGCGCTAGTATAGCATATCTAGATGCCTCAACTAGGTCTGCTGCCAGAGCTGAACCAAACAACTATTTGTAGTCTGCTATCTGTAAAGAGATGAGGAGGGTTTTTGTAACTGAGATCGAGCTGAAGATGAGCTACAGAGCTGTTCGGCACAAAACGTGGAAGCAAAGTAAGAGAAGCGCTAGTCTTAAGTATCCGGATGCCCGAACTCGGTCTGCTACGCGAGCTGGAACCAAACAACTGTTCGTACTCGGCTATTTTTCAAAGAGATGAATCGGATTTTCGTCACTGGAATCGAGCTGAAGATAAGCTACAGAGCTGTTCGGCACAACAATTGGAAGACAAATAAGAGTAGCGCTAGTCTTAAGTATCCAGATGCCTGAACTCGGTCTGCTACCGGAGCTGGAACCAAACATTATCCGTTCTCTGCTAATTTTTCAAGAGATGATGATAGTTTTCTTCATTCGAGCTGCAGGCTGGTTATGCGGCTGAACAGCACTGTTCGAAGCAGAAAGTCACCAGATACATCCGGCGACGCTTTCGAGACGTCTGAATTCGGCCTCGAACCACAGCTACGGCAGAAAATCTATTCGCATTGTAAATATCTTCCAGAGATGATGTGCGTTTCCTTAATTGAATTCGGGATCTAGGCCAGATAAAGGAGCTGAGATGCACGCCAATCGACAGGGAATGCCGCGAAACATCAGTTAACAGACGCCTAAGATCGGTCTGCTACCAGAACTGCAACCAAATAAGTATTTGCATTCTTCCATTTTTATGAGGGACGGTGTTGGATTTCTGCATTGAACTTATGGGCAAGCTAGGGAGCTGGGAAGCACACTGCTCAACAGGAAATCCTCGGACATATTGGTCTACTACCAGAGCTACAACTGAGCACTCTGCAATATTTGGTGAGAGATAATATATATATATGTATATATATATATATATTCTGTGCACAATTCGAGCTGCAGGCTGCTCCTTCGCCCCCTCCTCCCCTCTTTCTTCCTTCTCTTCCTCCTTCTCCTCACCCTGCCCTCGTTCTTCTCCTTCTCCTCCTCCTTCTCCTCCTTCTCCTCCTCCTCCCACTTCCCGTTCACCTTCGCCTCCTCCTTCTCCTTCTTCTTTTTCTTCTTCTCCCTTCCTGCTCCTCCTCCTGCTCCTCCTCTTCCTCCTCCTCCTCTTCCACCTCCATCTGCTTTTTCTCCTCTTTCTCCTTCTCCTCCTCCTTTCTCCTCATCATCATCATCGTCCCCCTTCCCCACTTCCACCCATCAGTTCCCGGCGGTAACCAAGGTTGACGGTTTACCGCCCAGTTGGGCCACCGGGCCCGGGCAGACAATGTGGGAATTTTGGGTTGGTTGGGCGAACAGTTTGGGAGATTTGATTTTTCGTTTTGAGGATCAGTATTTTTCGCACCCGTAGTGGGTTATGTCGCGTCCGCCAGTAAAATTCTCAGGTCTGTAGCTGCAGTATTATTTTCAAAACACTTGGCGGAACCGACGTCAGAAAAAAACCGAAAAACATGTATTTTCTAGTTTTTATCTGACGTAATGCTATATCGGCGTGTCGTGATGCCGTCTTGAAGACATTTTGATGCTGACGCCGATGGTGCTGCTGATGATTCTGATGCTGACGCCGACGGTGGTGGTGATGGATACGTTGCTCATGATGCTGTTGCGGGCGCGGTGATGATGATGCCCATGATGATGCTGTTGATGATGCTGCTGCTGCTGCTACTACTAGTGATGGTGATGATGACGTTGATGTTGTTGATGATGATGATGATGCTGATGATGATGATGATGATGATGATGATGATGATGATGATTATTGTGATGATGATGATGATAATAATATGATGGCGATGCCCTGCTGATGATGCTATGGATGATGACAATGGTGACGATGATGATGATACTAATGATAACAATGCTGATGATGATCAAGGGCGTGGTTCGCGGCGACGCGAATGTTGTATTATTTGCGGGGGACCGTGGCTTCGGTGACGCGCATATTGCGTAACTTACAACCGTTTATGGCCCCGATGACGCGCATATGGGGTAATGTACAAAGGGCTCATACGGCTTCGAGGACGCAGCTTTTGCATAGTTTACAACGGATTATAGCTTTGAGGGCGCAGTTATGGTGTAATTTGCGGTTGGTTTCGGTTTCGGGGGCCGCGACGCTGTTGCAATTCATCGGGGATCGTTGCTTCGTGGACGCAATGATGGGTTGGTTTGCGAAAGACCTTGGCTTCGGGGGCGCGAGTGCCGTGTCAGTGGCAGGGGGTCGTGGCCTGGGTGGCGCAAGTGCAGCGTAATGTTTAAGAGGGCTTTCCGTTTCGAGGGCGCGAGCACGCTATGATTCACCAAGGGGGCCGTGTCCTCGGGGACGCGCGTATTGCGTGATTCACCACCCACCAAACCACACCAACCCAACCCGAAGGCTTCAATTTGCCCTCCATTTCCAGTGGGGGGGGGGTCGGGGAACATTGAAAGTACACATGGAACCCGTACGCCCCCCAACCCGAAATTCGGGACAAATTCGGGTCTTCGGGTTGGGTTGGGGTTGGGGTGGTCTGGTAGGTAGGTAGTCAGTGATTGACGGGGGATCGTCGCTTCGGGGATGCGAGCATCGTGTAATTTTAGGACGGGCCGTGGCCTCGGGTACGCGACTATTGTGTATTTTGCGTGAGATCGTGGCCTCGGTGACGCGGAGGGCGTCGAGGACGCGAGTTTTGTATGACTAACGGGGGAGTATGGCTTCGAGGAAGCTGTACTTTGAGATGATTTAGTGCCTCGGGGACGCAAGTCTAGACAACATACAAGGGATGATGGCCTCGGGGATGCGAGTACCGTGTACTTTGTAAAAGGCTTTTTGCGTCGGGCACGCGCATCTTGCGTAATTTGCAATGGTATATTTGTTCGGGGGGCGCGACTATCATATATGTTTACGCGTCCCGCGACCCCCCAGGATTTCTGAGACCACCCGGAGGGCGTGGTGGAATAGTGGGTTGGGGGTCCGCCACCTCGCGCAGACTTCAACATACAGTAGGCAGCAGAAAGTAGAACCATCACATTGGAAACTGGACACTGGAACTGGTGCAGAGATCAGCAAACCTAAGCCGCGCAGCCTCACGGTCCCATATGGTGGCGGGCGGTTCGTCCACAGGACGGCCACGGGACAACCGCATGGGGCACTTGCGGGATAACCGCACATGACAAACGCGAGGGACAATCGCATGGGACAACCGAGTGGGAGAACCCTGGGGTCACCCTGGGCCAGCCCGGGAACACCCCGGGAGTCATGGCGCCAGGCACCGGACCGCAGATTTTCTAGCTAGGACAGGATGTTTCTCGCCCTCCCGCATCTTTGCTTCGCCAGCACGCGCAATACTATGTGAAAACGAAACGGGCTTCCTGGCCAGATGTACTCCGTTTCACTTCGGCCCCCCCCCCCAGCCTCCGAAGTCGTTCGTTTCCGTCCTCGTCGTCGCTCTCGTCCCTCGTATCTTGTTCTTCGTGTTTGGTTCCTCGTCCCTCGTCCCTCGTCTCTTGCCTTCGTTCCTCTGTCCTCATCCTTTTTCCTGGCCCCTTCTCCGTTTTACCTCGTGCCTCGTCCCTTGTTCCCGTCCCTCATTGTTCGTTCGTCCTCTGGCCCCTTTCTGTTCTTATTCTCATCCGTCATCCCTCACCCTTCGACTCCCTTATTCCTCATTCATAATCCTGCCTCCGTCGTCGTTCATCCTTGCTCGCTCCTCCTTTTGTCTCCCCCCCTCCCTCCTCGCTGGCCACCTCCCCCTTCCCCCCTCGCCCCCCCCGCCCCCCCCCTTCGCCGCCGCCATGCGGGCCCCAGCTACGACGCTGGCTCGACTGCCCGATCCCCCTGCGACCCCGTGGGCCCCCGACGCAGAACGAAGATGGCCGCCCTCCTGCTCCTGACCCTGGCGGCCACCGCCGCGCCGTCGGTGAGCGGCAGCCCGGTGGAGAAGGTCGTCGAGATGCTCTCTGGCCTGCAGGCGAAGGTCATCTCGGAGGGCGAGGCGCCCGGGCGGCTCGCACCGGAGGCTAAGGGTCGGGCGCGAGCTCGTGGGAGACGCGTGCACCTCTCGTAGACCTTTTCTGGGCCTTTCGAGGGGGCCCCTCGGAGCCCCTTTGGGGCGCACGGGGTGCACCTCTCTGAGGAGGAGGAGGAGGAGGAGGAGGAGGTGGAGGAGGAGGAGGAGGAGGAGGAGGAGGAGGAGGCTGGATGAGGAGGAGGAGGAGGAGGAGCAGTTGCAGGAGCAGGAGGAGGAGGAGGAGGAGGAGGAGGAGGAGGAGGAGGATTGCCCCCTTCCTCCTGTGTGTCACGCCCCCATGAATCAACGCCCGACAGTGGGTGGCCCTTCTGGACCCCGTGGCGCCCACCGTCCACCCGCGCTGGCCCTGGCTGGGGCCAGGCCTGGCTCTCAGCCTGGACCCCTGGGTCGGTGCAGGTGGACAGTGGACGTCCTCCGATTTCGGAAGGCATCCCGCCCTTTGGATCGGGACAACCGACATTCGGCGGCGAGCGAGGGGGAAAATGAGAAGGAGAAGGCCTTCTCAGAAGGCGGCGGAACCTGTCGGGAGCCCTGGCGCCTTCTGAGAGGTTTTTTCTGTCTTCGGGGAAGGCTTGGAAAGCTTCTCTGAAGGCCGGGGAACTTCCGAGCCTTTGAAAAGGCCAGCCCCTTCTCACTTCACCCCCGTGCTCGCCGCCGAGACATGGGTTGGGAAATGATGGGTATAAAAACAGGACTCGGGGTCGGTGTTGCCGCGGACTGTGTCCATTTGAGACAGAAGGCCGCCTGCTCGGCCGCGGACGCTGCTGGTTTCGAGCAACATTTGATGTTGGGCATCGTACCCATTTTTCCTGTACCCTTTTTGGGCATCGAATTTTGCTGCCTCCCTGCCTTCACGAGGCCATCTTAGAAGCCTACGAACAGGAACGGGGTCCCTCTGAGAACCGTTCCGAACCGCTCTGCGGTAGCGACAGGAGGAATCCATTGAAGGCCAGAAAGCGAGGAAAACGACGAGAAGGAACGAGAAGGAGGAAGAGGAGAAGGGCTTCAAAAAATTCCCCCCTCCTCTCCGCCGCGGCGGCGGGCCCCCCGGGGCCAGAAGGGGCCCGCCGCCGCCGCGGGGGGGGCCCTGTGGGGGGCGGGCAGGGCTTCGAGACCGCGCCCTGTGCCCTCTCGCGCAGACCGCGGTGCGGTCAGAGGGGTGGCGGTGCCTGAGAGGCGGGGCCTCGGCGACGAGGCGTGGTGGCGGGCCTCGACGCTGAGCCAGCAGCATTCTGGTGGGGGCCTCCGGGGTCCGTGCCCCGCGCCCCTGGGCCGATGTTCCCCCGTCCTCGGTGACCCACTGTCGTCGCAAAGGGGAGGAGGAGGAGGAGGAGGAGGAGGACCAGTGGAAACCCAAGAGTCATCAACGATGTTGGAATTAACCCTCCCTTCAAGCTCCCTCTTCATAGGCCTCTACAGCAGTACGTGTCCATTGAGGGAACTGTCTCGCTGGAAGACAACAGTTTGAAGATCCTCGAGCGTGCCAAAACATTGTTCTCGGGATCTCGGGTTCTCGGGATTATCAACTTGACTGCTGCGTCTTGACGATCCAGAATCGTGCCATAACGCCATTCTTGGGACTTCAACACAGCGAGTCAACATAACTGTAGCGCCCGCATAATCCTGAATATTTCCAAAACACCGCTTCTAGTGCGTTGATCATGGGAAATCTTGACACTCTTGCAACTAAATAACGAATGTGCGCGGCGCTAAAGCGAATGCCACATTTTGAAAGGGAACCGCCCTCAATCCGTGAAGCTCGTGAAAGTTTTTCAGACGAATGTGCGCGGCGCTAAGGCCGGAATCACATTTTGAAAACCACCCGCCCTCAATCCGTGAAGCTCTTGTACATGCTTAAACTTCATGTGCGCGGCGCTACGGCGATAACCACATTTTGAAAGGCACCCGCCCGCAATCCGTGAAGCTTTTGCAAACTTTTTAAACGAATGTGCGCGGCGCTAATGCGAGAGCCACACTTTGACAACGACCCGCCCTCAATCCGTGAAGCTCTTGCCAATTTTTCAGACGATTGTGCGCGGCGCTAAGGCGAGAGCCACATTTTGAAAGCGACCCGCCCTCCATCAGTGAAATTGTTGTCTCCTTTCAGCTTCAGGTCGTAAGTGGTGACGAAGTCTCAGGCGAAACTCACGGCCCGTCCGAAAGACGGGCCCCGGGGTCCGACAGGGAGGACTTACGTGTAATGAGAAGGAATGTAGGAGGAGGAGGAGGAGGAGGAGGAGGAGGAGGAGGAAAAGGAAGAGGAATAACAGGAGGAACAGTAAGAAGAGGAGGAGGAGGAGGAGGTGGAGGAGAAGGAGGATGAGGAGGATGAGGAGGAGCAGCAGGAGGAGGATGAGGAGGATGAGGAGGATAATGAGGAAGAGGAGGAGGAAGAGGAGGAGGAGGATGAGGAGGAGGGGGTGTCAAGTTCCTGGGTGTGGCTCGGGCCCCCGCGCTGCAGGGCCCCCCGTCTCTGGTGCCCGTGCAAGAGGCACCCACGTCGCCCCATTCTCTGTCGCCCTCGCGCCGCTTGTAGGTCCAGTCGAGGAGACCTTCTAATTTTCATCAAAGGTGGACAACTAGTTCAAACGATAAAAGACTTCAGCGCCAAGCTTTGAAAGTAAAGTTTGACATGTGAAGTGTTTGGAAGTATGAACACTGGAAACGTCGGAAATTTAGTTTGGAAATCAGCAATTGTTGTCGCTTCGCGAATCCCCACCAGCCCATCCAGAAACGATGCCCAGAGGAATTGCCTCGATCAGAGAAGTGGGCAGCACACAGAGGAAGCCATTATGAGACATCTTGGGATATCTTGAGCCATCTTGGAGGTCATTTTGGGCTCTCCCAGACGCTCTTGGAGTCATCTTAATCCGTGCCCCCCCCCAAGAGGCCTCCATGTGGCTAAAACCTGTGTAGAATCAATGATTAGGCATTCTCGCCGAGGCCTCTTGGAGCATCTTGGGTGCATCTGGGGGGGCTCTTGGGGCCTCTTGGGGGTCTCTTGGGGGCCTCCGGGGGGCCTCTTGGGGGCCTCTTGGGGCCATTTTGGGGCCATCTTGGGACCTCTTGGGGCTTCCTGGGCGCTTCTTGGGGCCATCTTGGAAGAGATCGATCAAACAAGAGGGGGGGTTCAATTAGCGCCCCCCCTCGGAAGCCCCGAAGAGGCCAAAATCGTCCCAAAACCTAAGGAAAATCAATGATTTTTGCTTTCTCGCCTTTTCGCTTCCGGACGCTCTAACTACCCGCGGCCCCCCCCGTCCAGGTCCAGGGGAGGGGGTAGGGGGAGGGGTAAACCCCTCCCCAAGGGGGAAGAGGGAGGGGTGGAAGAGGATCTGTTCTAGACCACCTACGCCCAGAGGGCTGGTGGGATTTTGACTCGGACTTCGCATTCATGCCTTTATGAGCTTCCTTTCTTTCTACTTCTGGCGGAGCGCGGAGCGCTCGTACATTTTCGAAAACAGCTTTGTATGGCCCCGTTCTGTGATTTGTGAGGGGTCTCTGGCGCAGCTATTACTACTACTGCAATTACTACGACTATTGTTTTTCCCAACCATCCTGTGGTGTTGGGTCCTCGTTTTGAAGAGGCGGTGCCCCGCGTTCCTCCTTCCTTCCTTCCATCCTTCCTTCCCTCCTCCCCCTCCTCCTCCTCCTCCTTCTCCTCCTCCTCCTCTTCTTCCTCCTCACTCCCTGCGTTTCACCCACCCAATACAGCGCTTCGTGGCCCCACAGGGAGCTCCACCAAAGGCCCCAGTGGCAGGGTTCGCATGGCGGCCCCGCGCCATTTTGGCGCACCCCTCACACGGTTCGTGGCCCCATAGGGGGCTCCACCGAAGGCCCCAATGGCAGGGTTCGCATGGCGGCCCCGCCTTTTTGACGCACCCCTCACACGGTTCGTGGCCCCATAGGGAGCTGCACCGAGGGCCCCAATGGCAGGGTTCGCATGGCGGCCTCGCGCCATTTTGCCGCACCCCTCACACGGTTCGTGGCCCCATAGGGAGCCCCACCGAAGGCGCCAGTGGCAGGGTTCGCATGGCGGCCCCGCGTTTCGGCGCACCCCTCACATTGTTCGTGGCCCCATAGGGAACCCCACCGAAGGCCCCAGTGGAAAGGGTTCGCATGGCGGCCCCGCGCCAGGTTGGCGCACGTGTCACACGGTTCGTGGCCCCATAGGGAGTCATCGAAGGCCTCAGTGGCAGGGTTCGCATGGCGGCCCCGACCTATTTTGGCGCACCCCTCACATGGCTCGTGGCCCCATAGGGAGCTCCACCGAATGCCCCAGTGGAAGGGTTCGCATGGCGGCCCCGCGCCATGTTGGTGCACTTGTCACACGTTTCGTGGCTCCATGGAGGGCTCCACGGAAGACCCCAGAGGCAGGGTTCGCATGGCGGCCCCGCGCCATTTTGGCGCACCCCTCACACGGTTCGTGGCCCCATAGGGAGCTCCACCGAAGGCCACAGTTGCAGGGTTCGCATGGCGGCCCCGCCCCATTTTGGCGCGCCATTCACACGGTTCGTGGCCCCGTGGGGAGCTCCACCGAAGGCCCCAATGGCAGGGTTCGCATGGCGGCCCCGCTTCAATTTGGTGCACCCCCTCACACGGTTCGTGGCCCCATAGGAAAGTTCCCTTGCTTCGTCCCGCCTGCCTTGCGGTTCTCACACTTGCGTATGGTTGGGTCTTTCGCCAGGATATTTTTTTGGTGTTCGAATACATGTGCGAACACTAGTTTTTTTCGGTACGACGGCGACGTATACTACTACTACTACTACTACTACTACTACTACTACTACTACTACTACTACTACTACTACTACTACTACTACTACTACCTTTACTACTACTACTACTACTACTACTACTACTACTACTACTACTACTACTATTACTACTACTCCTAATCCTAATCCTACTCCAACAACTACAGCTACTACTACTACTGCTACTACTACTACTACTACTACTACTAC